CACACCTCTCATTGGTGGGGGTCTGGGGGTCTCCCCCAGGAGAATTTGTTTTCTATAACGCCTGAGACGCGTTCTCCCGTGTTCTGGCGTCAGTTTCAATGGCCATTTTGAAGCAAGAAAATATCGTTTTCCCCTATATTATTTTATAAATATTTTGCTTCTTTTTGGGTTCGTAGGGATTGGTACTCATCTACGCCAATTCTGTTTTGGAGTTCGGTAACATTATTCCACGGAAAAGAAAAAATTAAATCATGTGGATTTTGGGATAGTTGTTGTAAGAGTTTCTCCTCGCGACTGTGACTCTGGTTGCGCAGGGACATGAGACTAGTATCACAAGCCATCACTAGGAATAGTTTAACATTATGTACATAAGAACCGATATACTGGTCAATGTAAAATATAAAGCCATGGTTAATGACCATTCCATATATATTTTGTATTAATAAAGGGGATAAAAATCATAGGAACTGTTTATTTTACGGGGGGCGGGGGGCTAGTGAGTACTGTGTGTATACCAATAATTTGCATAGCTAGAGTTGCACTGACACGGTTACCATGTCGAATGATTGAAGCCAGGCTACCAACCATATTGTTCCCTTTATATGTATAAAAGCGGTAAAAAAACCCCTTAGAAACACTTTATTTCACAGGGAAAACTAGAGTTAGTGTTTGGGTACACCGATAATTAGCAAGGCTAGAGTTCCACTGGCGCGATTACCATGCAGAATGAATATGCTAACCTCAGTTCTACATTTGTTAGAGACTTTGATTGCAACGAAGCATTTTAGTTGGCGGTCTTTATAGCAGATACAAATCACCTGTCATTGCTTTTTAATATTTTATATCATATAGTCTATGTTGTGTTTATTTTTATTTTTTTATTTTGTCAAAAATGATGTGTAAGCCCGGGCTTTTTTGCTACATAGGTTGTTACGCGCCTGAGATCGATAGTAGACTGGCTACCAGCCCCTAAGTTTTATGAAGAATTTCTCGGCTCCATTTTACTACTAGCTTATGTCCCCCTAGTTTAGAACTTAGGCACCCAAGTGATCAATTTTTTTAGAGTTAAAGTTGTTTTCTTAATTATTGAATATTCTAGAGACGGTGGCCAGTCTAGATCGATAGTAGCGCGCGCGGTATCACACTTAGTGTCTAGACATACATTATGTGTGTGTGACTGCATCTGTTATCGACCCAGCTGTACTGCAGAGCTCCATGGCTGACACACCCCACCACAGACCGGCTAGGGTCAGAGCCCTTGTTGTGTAACGGTTACATGTAGCTCTATTAGTGCAACTCTTTGTCACGGAAAAAACGTGTCTACATTTGTTAGGGCCAAGAGGAAAACATATCTTCAATAGATCGATACTTTTCACTTATATTACGTATGACACACCCTAGAGTTGATGGATTAACATCCAGTAGAAGGTGCAAAATAAGGTCATTATATATTCTGGCTTCCATTCCTAGTTCTCATGTTGTACTCTGATGGTAAAATCAGAGGATACCCGGATTCTCTTACTAATCTCTCGTGTTATGTCCTTTCATGATAAGATAAAAGGATACCCTGGATCTCTTACTAGTTCCCCATCATGTAATGTCCTCTGGTGGTAGAGTCAGAGGATACTCGAGTACTCTTACTAGTCCTCCATCGTGTAATGTCCTCTAGGTAGAGTCAGAGGATACTCGGGTACTCTTACTAGTCCTCCATCGTGTAATGTCCTCTGGTGGTAGGGTGAGAGGATACTCGGGTACTCGTACTAGTCCTCCATCATGTAATGTCCTCTGGTGGTAGGGTCAGAGGATACCCGGGTTCTCCTCCATCATGTAATGTCCTCTGGTGGTAGGGTCAGAGGATACCCGGGTTCTCCTCCATCATGTAATGTCCTCTGGTGATAGGGTTAGAAGATACTCGGGTTCTCGTTCTAGTCCTCCATCATGTAATGTCCTCTGGTGGTAGGGTCAGAAGATACTCGGGTTCTCGTTCTAGTCCTCCACCATGTAATGTCCTCTAGTGGTAGGGTCAGAGGATACCCGGGTTCTCCTCCATCATGTAATGTCCTCTGGTGGTAGGGTCAGAGGATACTCGGGTTCTCCTCCATCATGTAATGTCCTCGGGTGGTAGGGTCAGAGGACACCCGGGTTCTCCTCCCTCATGTAATGTCCTCTGGTGGTAGGGTAAGAAGATACTCGGGTTCTCGTTCTAGTCCTCCATTATGTAATGTCCTCTGGTGGTAGGGTCAGAGGATACCCGGGTTCTCGTTCTAGTCCTCTATCATATAATATCCTCTGGTGGTAGGGTCAGAGGATACTCGGGTTCTCCTCCATCATATAATATCCTCTAGTTGTAGGGTCAGAGGATACTCGGGTTCTCGTACTAGTCCTCCATCATGTAAGGTCCTCTGGTGCATGGTAGGGTCAGAGGATAAATTTGCTTTTCTTTTTAGTCTCCAATGTAGTTTACCATCTGTTGATAGGGTAGGGGACCTTTTTATTTCTACGTTCTCTAGGGCTCTCCACATCTCCAGGAGACTGGAAAGTCACCAGAAAGGACACAATTATCGACTGTCCATCAGACACTATGTAAACCACATGTTGTCTCACTGGAGTCCGATCGATATCCTGACCTGTCCTGACACGGTGGAGTAGCTCGTATCTATTTATTGTAGTGTGTAGAATATAAAATTCGTGTAAAATTCCAGTGTTAACACCAATAAAATTTCCCTCTAATTTGATGACAGAAAATCCACCAGGATACGGATTACTTAGAAATCCCTTAGTTAGACAAGAAGGTTTATTTTTCTTTAAAATTGGAAAAAAAATAACCCGAACTTTTGTAAGAAACCTGCAGAAATATTATACAATTATGGACTTTAGGCGAGGTTTATCTCAGATTTACAAACCATGTTTGAACAATATTCACCGAGGCCGAAATTTGTTCATATCAGAGTTATCTGCCCCTCTACCACTATACTATTTTGAACAACACACAGGTTGCTGGCAGTAAAGGGACAGATGACTATGATTTTTTCTTTATCCACTAGATGTATTGACACTGTATTTTATTTATAAACATGTACTTGTTAATAAATAATTATGTATTTTAGTTTTTTTCTGTGTTACAAGAATCATTAACATATTGACCACGTCATTGTGATTCTGTTACTGTTTACAGCTTATTTGTACAGGTATGAGTAAGGCTTAATATGTGTATCCGTGGAATGCAAGCTAGTGCACTGAGGTGTTCCGTAGCTATGACTAATACACACTTGCTGGAATGATGCAGTTCAATAAAGATTATTGTTAAATTATAGTTACAAAATGTTATTTGATGACAAAATATAAAAAAATACCCTAACAAAATATCGATGAATATAGAGAAAATAGATATTTGATACATACAGCCTGTTTAATGAATTGTAAAGACTGAGGTGTTATTTTTTGAGGACACTGAGAGCTATGCTGTCCACATATGTAGTTTAGAAGTTTTATCTAGCCATATGCTCAATGGATATTCGAAGGAGTGCTCCTAATTCGGAATACATAAGACTTTGCAAAGTCTTTGGTTTCTTGGGATAGTTTTCATGCGGGTAAACTTATAGCTATTTATAAATCATCGTTGTATTGTTTAAAATAGGAATGTCTGGCTATAAAACCAAAGACTTTTGTCAAATTATGAAGACAGGAGAAGCAGTTGATTCGGTTTCGAGATAATGTGGTTGTCATTTGTATACTATACGTAACAGTTGATTCGAGATGATGTGGTTGTCATTTGTATACTATACGTAACAGTTGATTCGAGATGATGTGGTTGTCATTTGTATACTATACGTAACAGTGTATTCGAGATAATGTGGTTGTCATTTGTATACTATATGTAACAGATGATTCGAGATAATGTGGTTGTCATTTGAATACTATACGT